GGGGGGGTCCTTGGGAGACAGGACCAGGGACGGGCGGGGCCTCGGGAGGGGACTTACATGGGCACCAGGGTCTTGTTCTTTTCATAGAAGAGCCGAAGGTCCTGGGGACTGCTGGCCTGGTGAGGGGATGATGCTGTGAGGGCCCGGGTGGCACTGGGGAGCTGCTCCATTCCCGGAGTTTACTCAGCTGGGACTATGTGCCTTTGCACATTTCCAGGGACAGGCCTGCCCTCCTCCCACCAGGCTGAGGAGCATGGGGACTCCAGGCATCTGGTGCAACTGGTTGTTTGCTTCCTGAAGTTAAGGGTGACTGTGCCCCCACTCCTGAAAAGCTTGACCCACCCGGTGGGGAAGACCTAGCACGAGCACGCCATTCATTTGTTCCCTCACTGGGCACCGCTGAGGGCCAGACACCATTCCAGGACTGGGTGCAGCTGAGACCAGGACAGCACCCACCTCCCGGCAGCCAGGTCAGCAGGGACCACTTGCTGCCCCTCACATGGTGGACTATAGGGAAAGATGGCAACAGCCAAGAGCCGCCCCGTGGTCCAGTCACTACAAGACGAGCAGGCCCACAGGGCTGAGTCCCACCAGAGCGGCCACCAGTTTCCCAATGTGGGGTGCACCCCAGAGCTGGGGTCCTGACACCATTTAGTGGGTCACGTCAGCACTGGGAAGAGCGGGAAGGAGGCCATGAACTCGGTATAGATGTACACACGGCTGTACCCCTGAACCAGCGGATACTCTGGCCTTGGCCCTGAAGTAACTGCAGGGTGGGGGGCTGGGAGGCCACCCGGCCCTGGTGCAGGAGGAGGCAACTTAGCCAGCTGCCCACCTCTACCTGGGCTCGCTCACCTGGAAAGGTGCCTTCCCCGTCAGGCATTGGTACACAATGGTGCCAATGCTCCACAGATCTGCCTTCCCGTCGTAGTGCTGGGACATGATGACCTCAGGGGCCTGCACGGTGTTAGAAACATGGGTCAGAACCATGGCAAGAATGGACACTGAGTGTCCACTAACCCAGTGTGGTGCCAGCCAATCAGAATGGACACCGGGCAGGTGCCAGCCAATCACCATAGATGTGGTGGGAAACAATGGCCCAGCCATACTGGCGAACCACCCAAAGTGAGGCCACAGGATGGGCTCAGCTGTGGACACGGGGAGGGCAGCAGGGCTGGGGTCGGCCCACCTACCATGTACATGGGGGAGCCGCAGAGTGTGGCTGCCATCATGTTGCTCTGCAGGTACCGGGCGAAGCCAAAGTCAGCTGCAGGGGAGGCCAGACTGTGAGCAGGGCAGCCGCAGTCCCCAGCCCCCACCTCCTCGCACCTGCTGGCCCCCCAGCCCCGGACTCACCAATCTTGACACGGATATTGTTGGGGTTGGCGCGGCGCCCACCAGGGTTGGACAGCAGGATGTTCTGGGGCTTCAGGTCTCGGTGGATGATGCCCTTGCTGTGCAGCAGCCGCATGGCGCCTGCGATCTGCTGCAGGAAGAGTCGGATGGTGTCCTCGCTCAGTGTCCGCATGGCTGTGGGGAGATGAGGCTCAGAGGGCACAGCTCTCCCAGTGGGACAGGGACCACACGGACCCTCCCTGCTGGAGGGGCCCACAGGCCCTGATGGGACCAACCCCTAGAGCTCCTTCAGTTTGTGGCCCACTCACACCGCAGGTCCATGTCCTGCCCACCCCAAGGTCACCCTGGGCTGCCTGCCCGGCTCTGACCTGATCAGTCACCTTCCCACAGGACAGCTCCCTGCTGCTTCACCCCCTGGATCCTATCTCAGCTCATGATGCTACTCAGCATCTGTTCATGGCAAGTTCCCAGCCTGTGGTTTGCATTGAGTCCCGGGGCCTGGCCCTCAAGGATCGAGGGCTGAACAAGCTGATAGGGTACAGAATGGACTGACCCCCATCTGCGGCAGTCCTGGGGAGACCTGCCCCTCTACGATGAGGCAGCACCCAGCAGAGCAGCCAGCCAGGCACCCTGGGGACCCTACAGGCCTGGGGGCCACTCAGACGGCACCGCATCCTATGGAACACACAGGCCCCACTCAGGAGGAGCATTCCAGACCCAGTCTGCCCTGTGGGGCCATCCTGATGGCTCCGGTCCCCCTTCCATCTTCCCTAGCAGGTGCTGGAGGGACAGGAAGACCAGCTGCCACCATCAGGCCTAGGGCAGCTGGTTCACACTGGCCCACTTCGCAGGCTGGGTCAGGGTGGGCCTGGGCACACAGCCCGCCGGCCATAGGATGCCACTCACTGTGTAGGTAGTCAGCCAGGTCTCCGCCGTTGCAGTACTGCAAAAGACCAGCAACATGCCTGGTCAGCAGCCAGCACACCCTCCACCCTGCTCAGGTCCCCCCATCACCCTACACCTGGGCACTTGGTGCTGTCTCTCCTCCCTGGGGCAGGTGTCCCCCCACAATCCATGCTTGAAGAGGTCAACAGGGGCACTCCCCACCACTCAGGAACCTGCCGTGGCTAGTGGGGTGCCCAGTACAGTAGCCCTAAGGACACAGACACATGGCATGGGCAGTGCACCCTGCCCCGTCCAGGCGATGAGGGGTCCAAGAGCTGGGAGGGCCCAGCCTCCCTGTCCTTAGAACCAGGCCTGCAGGGACTCACCTCCATGACCAGGTAGACGGAATTGGCCATTTCCTGCAGGACACAGAAGAGGCAGAGGGGTAAGGGGAGCATACCCTGCCCCCGTTCTGGCAGCCCCCTACAGAGCTTGTCCCAGCCCCAATGTGGCCTGGGCCCCAGGCACCCTGGACATACCACCTGGGCCACAGGCAGGAGCGGCCAGTGAGCGTGGAGACCAGCTGCCCCGGGGCCTGCATGCCAGGGCTTAGCCAGTTGGTTAGTGGCAGGAAGACAGGACACCTGAGAGCCAAGTAGGCTCTGGTTTGTTTTTGAGGCCATTTGCTTGAGTGACAGGAGCAGCAGCCAATCAGAATACTCATTTGCCAAGTTTGGGGAAGGGGCTAAGATCCCAGGAGTGGGGTGTAGACCCCACCTCCCAGTGGGTGAGGAGCGGCGATACACAGCCCTTAGTGACTACGTGAATGTTAATCTCAGCCCCCAACCCTGTCCCCCCAGTGCTCCAACAGAGGGGTTGTGTGTCCAGGGCGGATACACCTCGGAAGCAGGCCGAGATGTGGGGTGTACTCTCGGTGTGAGGCTGGCACTGAAACCCCTTGGGGCCAAGCTGGGCACCCCTGGGACAGGCAGGCCTGCTCCAGCATGCCCCACCTGGCATTCCCAGGCCCTTCGCTTGGGGCGTGTCCCAGCAGGGATGCAGAAGCCTGGGAGGGGAGGGGTGGGCTCAGTCCACAAAAGCAGGCCTCAGCCCGCAGCCCAAAGCACAGAGAGCCCCTGGGAGTCTGGGAGCTCTTTGGCCCTGCCCACCAGCCCAGCCTTCCAGGCCAGCTGAGGGGGAGAGATAACAGGGGGGCAGGTACAGAAGAGGCCCAAGTCACCCCAGTCCCTTGGGACCCATGAGGAGCAGGGTGAGGAAGCAGTCATAGGGAGAGAGGGAGACCAGGACTAAGGAGCCAGTGATGGAGGGAGGTGGGGAGGCCCTGGCACAGGACCAGCAGAGGCGCAAAGAGGTGCCAGCGATAAGGACCCAGAAATAACCAGGCCAGCTGCTCCCTCTCCTGCCATCACCTTACCATGGCCGTCATCTTGACCCTGGCCACCTCCAGTGCGGTGCTGAGCATGCTCCCAAATTTACCCCTCGACTGTGAACTCCGTGGGGCACCGAGCACTCTCATCTCCGGAGGCCCAGTGAGGCTCAGCCCCTGGCCCTGGGCCACATGGCCAGAGGACAGAGCAGTGGGGGCCTGGCCCAGGCACCTCCAGCTCTCGCCTGTCTTCCGGACAGCAGGCTCCCCAGGAAAGCCCCAATCTCACCCACCAAGCCAGAACGGGCAGGGACAGATAAAGTGACAAGGACAGAGGCCGGCAAGTCGTAGACAATCGCAGTGTCCACTCCCGTTGAGTTCCTCCCAAGAAGTTGTCCACCAGGACTAGTGGGGACACCCACACCACCCGAGGGCTGCCAGCTGGGAGGTGCACACCACTGCCTCCAAATCTAGGGGCACACCCAGAACCCAGGACAACCTCTCCCAGAAAGGAGGTCCCTGTGGCAGTGTGACAACAGAGTCCCCTTTGTGCCCAAGAACCCATGGGGCTCCCTGCACAGGGCTCACCCCATCCCCACATCCCAGCCAGGGCAAGCTCCCAGAACCCCATCCCACAGGTCTGCTGTCTCACTGCTCCTGGAACTGCCCGCCCCAGGCTCTGCCCCTCCCTGCACAGGTCACCACTCATTACTCCCAGGAGACCACCCCGATGCCCTTCTGGTGCCACAGCCCCTCAGTGAGCAGGAGACCAGAGGTTATTGGCCACATGGGGCTGTGGGGGTCCAGGCTCCTCTCCTCCCTCTGGTCTCTGTCCCTCAGCCCCAGTGGGTCACTCAGCAGAGACCTTGGGCATCCCCCGTCCTGGGCCCAGCAGACCTCTGATGTGTGGAGGGTCAGAGGCCTCAGAGGCAAAAGCATAGCATTCTTGGGAGACCCACTGTCCTGGAAGAGAGGACAACTTCAGACAGATCCCTGCTGGCCAGAGCTGTCTCCCAGCCTGTGACGTGGGCTCTCCGAGGGGGGTGTGTGCTAACCACCAGCCCAGGAGCCTCGGCTGCCTCGCAGATAAGGTGAGGACATGTGCCTGGGCCAGCCGCAGTGTGTCCTCACCTGCCCCACCCACCCCAAGCCAAAGCCAAGGCAGGGACCGGGAGGTGAGGCCCAACCACGCGGCCTGCAGTGTCTCCTGGCTGGCTGGGCACTTCAGCAGGGAAGCTTCATGCGCAGGCCCCTGCCAGGATCTGGCACCCCATCCACCTGGGGCCAGGCAGTCACTGTGTAGGCGTCCCCCACCCCTCCCTGGGGAAGCGGCTCTCTGGTCCCCCCTGGCATGGAGGGAGAGGTCAACACAGCCTTGCTGGCCACAGCTGACCTGCCCTGCCCAGCCCGCTGCCCACCCAGAACCTGGAAAGGCCCCAGGTCCACCTCTGCCTGTCCCTACCGGTGCTAAATTTGGTTTTCACAAGTTTCCCTGGGGACTGAGTGGGCACCGAGCACCAAGCAGGCCCCTTGGGACTCAGTCTAGACTTAGTGCAGACACTCGAGGGACCCAGGCTTCTTCCTAGGGCTCCTAATGACCGCCAGATCCCAGAGAGGGCTTCGCTCCCAGGAGAGGCAGGTGCTCTCGACCTCATGTGGCTGGTTCTCATCACATTATTATAGGTGAACACAAAGGTGGGTAAGTCACAGGCCCACCAGACCCTGTGAACACCCCAGCCCCACCCTCAGCGTTGTGGTCATGGCCCCCACACCCTTAGGCCCTAGGACAGGGCAGTGCAACCTAGTAGCCTGTTTAGGGGAGGAAATGGGCAGACAGGGCCTGAGACTCTGCCGTCATCACACAGCTGGCAAGGGTGGGAGGGACAGAGCTGGGCTGGGACCAGGAGCTCCGACCACTGCCCTGTGCAGCCCCCCAGGAAGGGCCAAGGAGGCAAAGCCTTTAAATGAATGAAATGGAGCCCTGGCCAGATAGCTCTGCTGGTTAGAGCGTCGTCCTGATACGACAAGGTTGCAGGTTCGATCCCTGGTCAGGGCACATACATTCACGCAACCAACGATGTGTGAATAAGTAGAACCACAAATCTGTGTTTCCCCTTCCTCTCTAAGATCAACTAAAAACAACAACTGAATCGGAGCCCCTCCACCTCTTGGGGCCCTGGGGTTGGGAACGTAGGAGGCTGCCTGGTCCAGGCCCTACGGTGCTTTGCTTAATAGGATCCCAGCTCCCCCCTGGGTGAGCCCACTGTCTGGTGATCCAGGACTGGCCTGGTGGGCGGACAGGTGCTGACCTAGTTAACTCCTCACAGCTGGCTATCTTGGCTCCAGAAGGTGGCAAAGGCCACAGGCCAGCAGGAACAGAGCTGCTCCTGCCCCTGCTGGCCTCTCCTGACAGCTCCCCTAGGGAAAAGATGTCTGCGACCCTGAGGGGGAAGGGCCACAGCCTTCCTCTGGGAAGCCCCCTTTGGCTGGCAGCCTGGCCTGCCCGCCCAGCCCTTCTTCCCAGCCCCCTGGGCCCGCCCGACCTGGGAAAAGCGGGCACTACTTTCATGGGGGGAGGGAAGAGGCACAAACTGGTGCAGCCCGAGTCTAAGCCTTCTTGAGACCCCCGAGCCCAAGCTGCACCCCAGCAACACTGCAGATCTGACCCAGACGCTCGCAGCAGCTCCGTCCGGGCACCATCCAGGGACGCCCACGACGTGGCTCCCCATGTGATGCTGAGGGTGCTGAGGGTGACACACCATGGGCACCCAGGGCTCTGGTGTAGCGGACAACTAGGGAGCAAGTCCCCACAAAGGTCAGGGCCCGGGGTCCCTGGAGGGGAGGAATTTGGGGCAGACTTCTGGGGACTAATCAAGTTCTAACTCCTACCCAGCAAGAGGGATGCAGGAGCGCTTTGCTGATGAAGCATCGTGTCATGTGCACCCTGCCCTGTCAGACATTATTATATTTCAAAACTGTAAGTCAAAAGGAACAGATAAAACAACTTAGCAGGTGATTTCCAGAACTGCCTGGACCCTGGGCCTACTCACAGGCCTCTCCCTGCCTGGGAACCTGGCATCCTGGGGCGTCAGCACTGCCTGCATCCCACCTTCCTCAGGCTACCTAAGTCACAATGCCCATCACAAGAACCAGGGGTCTGAAGAGAGCAAGGCCAAGGGTTGGGACTGTCCTGAAGGCCCCGGAGTAAGGCAGGACACTCCCCTCAACCCAGGTCCATAACTCACAGGTACAGCTGGCTCTGCCTGCTGGCAGGGGTGAGTGAGTCACGTCCAGCTGTGGGAACCAGCCAAACTGACGGCGTGCTGGCCTCAGGAGTGGGAGGGGCCACTGTTGGCTAGGCCCATGGCCATCACCCCTCCTCTCAGGGCACGCTGGCACGGCTGGTCCTGGCTGCAGAGCCCTACACCCCAATTTCTGCAATGGTCACTCTCCCTGGGCCAGAGTGCATCCAGACACGGCACCGAACACCACGGTGAGACCACCCTTCATGGAAGGCCAGAGACTCCAGCTACCTCCCCACAGGCCTGGGGACCTGAGAACAGAGCACAGTCCAAGGGGCCCAGCTCCGGCACTCTCATCACAAATGTTCCTATTCTGTAAGGCCAACAAAACCACCACAACAGACAAAAAAACAACCTGGAGAATACCTGCCACCTAAAACGAAAGGGCTTTCCTTAATATGTAAAAAGCTTCTACAAGTCAATAAAATTCACAGCACTCATTATATAGTGGGCACAGATCTCACATGGACTCAGGCTGTCATCACAACCACCCTACAAGGCAGGTGTCTACTCAAGTGTCTACCACGTCACAGGTGACACTGCAGCATCAAGAGACCGAGTACCTTGCCCCAGGTCACACAGGTAAGTGGGGGAGCTGGGCTCAGGGAAAGGCAGTGGGGCTCAGGGCCCACGCCACCCGCCTCAGTGAAAAAGCCGGAGGGCAGGCAGTAGCCCTGACACTGACACGCCATGGGGAGAGACGCTGAGCTCACTCAGTGCATGAAAACAAAACCTTAAGAGGCGCATCTTCCACCCCTCCGACAGGCCGAGAGGAACGTCTATAACCAAGCTGGCAGGGACGAGGGGAGACAGTCCCTCCAGCGGGCAGCACCGCTGCGTGTCCAAGGTCTGGCCTCTGTGGACCACAATTTGGCAACTGCCCCAAACTAAAAGCGCATATCCCTCTTACCCAGGAAATCGACTTCTAGGAATCTACCCAGCAGATGCACACACAGCGGAGGCAAGTGCAAGGATGGTCAGCCACTGACCATCTGCTGATGAGCCAGAATCACCTCACGTCCCACGGGTGAGGGACTGGCGAGGTCAGCGACAGGAGAGGGGGCTATGGGCGGCCACAAAACTGCCATAACAACAGTTAGCACTCACGCAGTGTTTACTGTGACCGGTTTCAACCAAGCAACTCCGTGGTCTCTGTCTTGAAGGGAGAGATGGAGGCACAGAGAGGCCGAGACAGTAGGCCAAGGACACAATGCTAGATTAAGTGGAAGAGCCAGGACCAGAACTAGGTCTGGGCTCTGAACCACTGGGTTTAGAGGCGTCACCCTCACAGAAGGAACCCAGGGGTCGCTTTCTTGGGAGGAGAGGGGTATAATTTATCCCATATGGAGTAAAACGGTTATGTGGAGTGACAGGCACCCTCTCCAAGATGCAGGACAGAGGTGGAGGTCCCGTGGGGAAGGGGGCAGGTCAGAGTGTCTGCTGTGCCCACGCTGCCCTGCCGAGGCCCAGAAACAGCTAACATGGCTGTGGTCCCTCTGGGGGAGACGGGCTCCATCGGGACAGGGACAGGAGAGTTACCTTTCCCCACATCCCGTTTCACACTGTTCCTTTGTTCCTTACCCTTTTTTTTAACCTATTTTTAAAAGACTTTTTTTTTTCCTGGGTCCCAGACAGGAGCCTAAGGGCCGGGGGAACCCCCCCCATCCTGGGGGGACAGCACCGAGCCTCAGCAGAGGAAAGAGGCCACGCTGGCCTCCAAGCACTTCCTCTGTGGAGGAAGCGGCAGAGCTGCCAACCCTGGAGGAAGTGGCACTGCCCACAACCAGGTGTGTGGCCCAGCGGGATGGGGAAGGGGGGAGGGGGACCAGGAGGAGAGGACAGGGAAGGGAAGGAGGGTACAGAGGAGGAAAGGGCCAATCTCTTGGCCCCAGGACATAGCGTCTCTGTGGGGGCTGCCAGAGACTCACTGTCACACTAGACCTGAGCCCTCCCCATGTCACCTCATGCCACGCCACAGCCCCCAAGGCCACAGCCCAACTCTGAAGGGGGAGGAGAGAGCAGGGAAGGAGGGAGGAGGCCACCAAAACACAGACAGCCAGGCCGGGAACTTCCCCTCGGCCAGGGGCTGGTCCCGTGGCCTCAGTAAACAGGTTTCAAAACCATTAGTCAGCACTTTGGCCGGCAGATCTGCCGCCTCAGGTTCCCAAGGCCCCCAGCTAGACATCTAGGGTCCTGGATCCCCCGCTGAGGCCGGGCCCTCACCGCCAGGCCCCGTGGACTGTGGGGGAACCTGGCTGTGGCCTCCTGGGCCAGCTAAGCCTGAGGTGGCCTCATCAACCAGGCAACTGCCTCCCTCCTGCCCTGGGTGGCTGGCCCCAACTGCCAGCAAGAAGGAATCTCCGGTGGCCCCTCCCTTCCCCCAGTCTGACGCGGAGAGAGACTGGCCAATGCTGGGGCCTGGAGCAATGTCAACAAACAAGGGGCCTGCCCAGACAGGTGGGCCAGGCCAGCAGGATTACCAGGCAGGGCCCCGGCCGGTGACAGGACTCCAGGTCAGGGCCACCAGGTCAGAGCTGAGGGCCGAGCCATAGCCAGGCCTCACTTGGCCCCGGTAACCGTGATCTGCTGCCGGGTGCCTGTGGCCCCGCACCCTCTCCCCGGTCAGGCAGGCAGCCCGGGAAGGTGGGCACCCTCCCAGCCCTGCCAGGGGAAGCTGGGCTGCAGGACCCGGTCTCCAGGGTCCCCATCAGGCCAGATGGGGTGGCCCAGCTCCTTCCCCCAACACCAGTCGCTGGCCTAGAGCCTTCCACCACTGACCAGGGTCTCCAGGGCTTGGCTGGCCTGGGACCCAAGCTGGCGGGTGGGGGGGCGCCCTGGGACCCTAACGCTCCGCCTCCCCCCGGGCCCCCGGCGCGGCGGGACCGGGCTTACCTGGAAGTCGTACAGAGCCACGATGTTTTCATGTTTCAGCTCCTAGGACAGAAACCCAAGTTCGCTG